GGCCACAGCATTACGTGTCCAGCATGCTATCCACACAGCCATTGTGTGTGTGTGTGTGTGTGTGTGTGTGTGTGTGTGTGTGTGTGTGTGTGTGTGTGTGTGTGTGTGTGTGTGTGTGTGTGTTATATTCGAATACTCCTTTTTGTTTTAATATTTTCAAAACATTTTATCAGTACGTTGTTGAAATTTTTACTGTTTTGGAAAGAAAAAAGGAATGCTCTTGACAAAATTCTGTGGGGGGTAATAATTCTTTATCTTTCAAAAGTAGCTCTTTCAGCTTATGAGACGCATCGCAAGTATGGCCCCAGTGCACGGGCATCCTAAGGTCTAAAATCAGCAAGCTTTGAAAGTTTCTTAGGAAAAGATAGTTTCCTCTCGATCATGGCATTGTTTTTTTTTTTTGATAGGATATTTGGTACTAAATAACCGGAATTTGGCACTGTTGGAAGTGATAAATTTTGTACTGTATTTTTAGAGTACATTTTTTATTCCACATAATTCATGTTAAGAAAGTAAAATTTCTTAACTGTAATGCCACGTAATTCCGGTTAAGAATTAAAAGTTAATTCCACATAAAAGTATTTTATACAGTACAATGTTAAGATAAATGTTCGTTTCTAAGCTTTACTTAAGTTTTGTTAAAGCCAAGTATTAAGCTGTATTGAAGCTAACCATAAGAATGTTTCACGTTTGTATCCTATGCTAGATTTTGATTTTGTTAGATAATCAAATTTTTTGCTAATCAGATTTTTTGCTAGATAATCAGATTTTTTGCTAGATAATCAGATTGTTTGCTAGATAATCAGATTATTTGCAAGATAATCAAATTTTTTGCTAGATAATCAATTTTTTGCTAGATAATCAGATTGTTTGCTAGATAATCAGATTGTTTGCTAGATAATCAGATTTTTGCTAGATAATCAAATTTTTGCTAGATAATCGGATTTTTTGCTAGATAATCAGATTTTTTGCTAGATAATCAGATTGTTTGCTAGATAATCAGATTTTTTGCTAGATAATCAGATTGTTTGCTAGATAATCAGATTTTTTGCTAGATAATCAGATTGTTTGCTAGATAATCAGATTTTTTGCTAGATAATCAGATTTTTTGCTAGATAATCAGATTTTTTGCTAGATAATCAGATTGTTTGCTAGATAATCAGATTTTTTGCTAGATAATCAGATTTTTTGCTAGATAATCAGATTTTGAACAGGTCTGCAGAATAGTTCTATAAACAAAAATCAAACATGGAATAAGGAAAATTGCGTAAGGCCTATTGCTCCATACGATACATCGCTTATTTCTACCTATACTAACTCATACATATGTCTAACCTGCACTTGAAACAATTCAGCGATCCCACTTTTTTACAGCATGTGTTAACGGCAGATTGCGTTTTTGCTTAGCTTAAGCACGAGTTTTGTAAGAAACCTCTCATTCTTATAAGATACTTATAGTAAGCATTTCAAGTACCTGAGAGGATTGACTGTGGACATAATTTTTACGTAAATATTACAAACACGTTTGTGTAAAGTTGTACTATGGTACTCTTTGATTATTTATTTCCTTAAGAAAGTATTTAAGGATTATTAGAATACATTCTCGCGGTATTGAGTGTTGTGCATGTAAGCCATTTATTAATTAAAGCTTACAAGGGGAACATTGACCGTACGATCATTTCACCTTCGTATGGTCAAGTTTGTCGCGCTTGGAAGGTAGAGCACCTGACTTTTTACCTTACGGTTCTGCTGCAGAAGGGTCATTGTTTTTCTTTCAAGCGAGTGCCTCTGAAGGAGATAGCGGTGGGCACGTTAATTTGTTACCTATGTTCTTGATGCAAAAGGCTCATTCTTTCTTCAACTGCGTCTGGAGGCGATTGTTGTATGCACGTGACCTTATTATCTATGTTCCTGCCACATAAGGCTCCCTTTTGCTTCGTCTCTCTCAGCTGGAGGAGCTGCACAGCCGGCCAGACGTGATCTTTCATCAAGGTAAATATTTGATGCGGCTTTGAGAAGCTAGTATTTACATGCCGATAGTGCACAGTTTGGCGGGTTTTGTTCACAGGCCGAGTAGTCACTGTTAAGGGACTCTATTAGCCTGGAAATTGTATTTTTCTTATTAGCAGTTTAATTATATTCATTACATGTGTGCACACACACACACACACACACACACACACACACACACACACACACACACACACACACACACACACACACACACACACACACTGCACAGGCTATAGCGTGGTTGGAGCTCGTCGCCCTCGTCCCGAACACCAGCTTAGTGCTCGGGACGAGGAGGATGGTGCTTGACCAAGATCTCAAGAACAAGTTGAGCATAGATCAATGCGCCTTAAACGGCAGAAACACCCTCTCAGAGAGAGCAGGCAACCCTCTGGAGAAGGAACACGTCCTGTGAAAGCCACAAGCGACGCCGCTGTAACTCAAATGTGCAGGGAAAAGATACACGTGAATCTCCAGAGTAATGCAAATCTTAGAGCAAATTGACAAGTAAAGCCGCTGGCAAATCCGTTGACTAAACTGAAACATAAACTATTGGAGATCGTAGAGCGAAAAATGAGTCAACCTCTGGCGTCAACATTGTGTGGGGAGGAAAGGGGAAAGGAGGAGGATGACGACTTGATTCCCCCCCCCTATTGGAACCCCTTAGTGGTTGAATGGGGAAAAAGTAGGGAGCCCACAGAGGGAGTTTGGTGAAATCACCATTTTGTCTGGGGCGGTGATAAGGCTCCAGGCCAGGCTAAACAATTCATCTCCACACATGCAAATGGGGGTCCTTAACCAAACACGTGATCCCTCGATCCGGGAATAATGCAACTGGAATTGGATTTGCTGCGTTTCAGCTTGAGGTCTGGTGTTGCAATTAAAGGGAGGTTGCATGGAGAGAACCACCACTGGATTTGGCCTCCCAGATTAATGGGATTTTAGCCTCAGAGTTCCTTTTCCATTTTTGTCTTTTATTTGACTTCTGGAGTGTGATGGCGAGGGGGAGGAGACGAGGTGTGGTGAAACGAATGTAATGAATCTGGAAAAATACATCGCATTTTGACCTCAGAATCCCCAAGGGGGGAAAAAATATGATTTACTCTAAATTATTGCGTCTCGCAAACATTCACGTTTTCTGTTCGTTGATGCATAGGATAGGTTAGGTTCGTCCAGTTTAGTTCACTATTTTCTGTCCGTTGTGACCACTCGAGAGGACGGGCTGTGAGCGAGTGTGTTGGTATTCACCTATCTTCAGGGCTTTTCATTTCATTTAATTAAGCAAAATGATTTCAATGCACTGTTGTTGATTTATGATGAAAATATTAGGGGGAATGCGCCTAGCCATTACGACTATTTAGCACTTGGAAGGGATTAGGATAAGGATTTGTGATGGGACAGGGGGGGGGGGGAATGGTGCCCAACCTCTTGGATGGTCGGGGATTGAACGCCGACCTGCATGATGCGAGACCGTCGCTCTACCGTCGAGCCCAAGTGGTTGGGATGTTGATTTATGAAACATGATTGACTTGGGATCGCTTGATTGCTTCAGGGTTTTACCTTGCCTTATCTCTCGATCATTCCGAGGATCAACGTCCTCGCGGCCCGGTCTCCGACCAGCCCTCCTAGTTGATTGCCTGGTCAACCAGGCTGTTAGACGTGACTGCTTGCAGCCTGGTGTACGAGTCGGCTTGTCAGACTGATTCATGAATGAGTTTCGTTGGATATATAAAATGTTGCTGCCTCGTATGGGCCATTAGGCCTTCTGCAGTTTCCATAATTCTTATGATCTTACGTATTGCGTGCGAGATACATGCCAGTTTTCCTGTATGTTTTCCTGTAGCGACCAGCATATGGGGTGGAGGTAAGATTCCTTGAACGTGTCTCAAAGACCTGTAGTGAAGCAAAGCACATTAACTCTTTTTAACCTTTTTTTCCCCCCAATTTTGCGAACAAGAGGAAAGCGGCTAAAAATGCAGCAAAGTAATGGGACGTTTACCTTAAGTCACTTCAAGTTGATTTTTACACACGCCGGGAGGGCCAAATCTGGCGATGCAGAGAGTAAACAGAGACTTAGAGAGTTCAATAATGAGATTTGCTCCTCGACCTCGACTCCTCCGAGCCTTCAGGTAACGTCTTCTTTGTCTGTAAGACGGGAAAAACATCCGCTGGCGCCTTTTTTGTGTGTGGGGAGATGTGGTTTAATCAGATTTTTTTTTCAATATACACGAAAGCGCTCAAGTATTCTTTTACATTTTACTTTATGGTCATATATATATATATATATATATATATATATATATATATATATATATATATATATATATATATATATATATATATATATATATATATATATATATATATATATATATATATATATATCTGTATAAATTGTAAATGTTTTATTTTTCTTTTGTCTAGTTTGGAAACGGGGCTGTGAGCTGTAAATTGAGTAAGATGTGAGAGTCGTATTAGGAGACTGCGCCTAATGGAAGAAAAATGGGAGATGTCGCAGGAGTTAAGTTGATGAATGCTGGGAGTCCGCTGGTGAAGGGATGATTTAAGGCGCCCTAGGCATGCCACTGTTTCATGATCACCCTGTTTCATGATCACTGTTTGATGGTTATTCTGTTTCATGATCACCCGTTTTATGATCACTGTTTCATGATCACCCTGTTTCATGATCTCTGTTTGATGGTTATCCTGTTTCATGATCACTGATGGTTATCCTGTTTCATGACCACACTGTTTCATGACCACCCTGTTTCATGACCACCCTGTTTCATGACCACCCTGTTTCATGACCACCCTGTTTCATGACCACCCTGTTTCATGACCACCCTGTTTCATGTCCTCTTTCATTTACCCCCATTTTTATAATTTTCAAATTTATTATAAACGCTACGTGAGGCCTACGAGAATGTCAATAGCAATAATTAAATAAACTTGGGTCGAGAACCACCTCGCAGCGTTTCCTCGTAAACTGCTTAATTCAGACTAAACCCCAATGATCGAATAGAGATGTACAGGTTTCGCTTGTGGACACGTTCTTGATGTTGCCGGGGGCGGGTGGCTGAGATTGATGTGTTGCCGGGGCGAGTGGCTGTTATTTGATGTGTTGCCGGGGGCGGGTGGCTGATATTTGACGTGATGCCGGGGCGGGTGGCTGAAGATTGATGTGTTGCCGGGGCGGGTGGCTGATATTTGACGTGATGCCGGGGCGGGTGGCTGTTATTTGATGTGTTGCCGGGGGCGGGTGGCTGATATTTGACGTGATGCCGGGGCGGGTGGCTGATATTTGATGTGTTGCCGGGGCGGGTGGCTGATATTTGACGTGATGCCGGGGCGGGTGGCTGATATTTGACGTGATGCCGGGGCGGGTGGCTGATGAGATTTGATGTGTTGCCGGGGCGGGTGGCTGATATTTGATGTGTTGCCGGGGCGGGTGGCTGATATGTGATGTTGCCAGAGCTGGAGGCTGATATATGATGTGTTGCCGGGGCGGGTGGCTGATATTTGATGTGTTGCCGGGGCGGGTGGCTGATATTTGATGTGTTGCCGGGGCTGGTGGCTGATATTTGATGTGTTGCCGGGGCGGGTGGCTGATATTTGATGTGTTGCCGGGGCGGGTGGCTGATATTTGATGTGTTGCCGGGCGGGTGGCTGATATTTGACGTGATGCCGGGGCGGGTGGCTGATTTTTTATGTGTTGCCGGGACGGGTGGCTGATATTTGATGTGTTGCCGGGGCGGGTGGCTGATATGTGATGTTGCCAGAGCTGGAGGCTGATATTTAATGTGTTGCCGGGGCTGGTGGCTGATATTTAATGTGTTGCCGGGACAGGTGGCTGATATTTGATGTGTTGCCAGAGCTGGAGGCTGATATTTAATGTGTTGCCGGGGCTGGTGGCTGATATTTGATGTGTTGCCGGGGCGGGTGGCTGATATTTGATGTGTTGCCGGGGCGGGTGGCTGATATTTGATGTGTTGCCGGGGCGGGTGGCTGATATTTGATGTGTTGCCGGGGCGGGTGGCTGATATTTAATGTGTTGCCGGGGCGGGTGGCTGATATTTGATGTGTGTTGCTGGAACAGATGCTGGCAATGTATTGTGTCTCTTGGACGGCTGCCTGGATTTATTGTGTGTTTTTTGGGATCGGATGAGAGAGTGTATGTTGGGTGTCGCTGTGACGACTGCTGCTCTTTACTTTGTGCAACTCCCACATTGTCTCTCTCTCTCTCTCTCTCTCTCTCTCTCTCTCTCTCTCTCTCTCTCTCTCTCTCTCTCTCTCTCTCTCTCTCTCTCTCTCTCTCTCTCTCTCTCTCTCTCTCTCTCTCTCTCTCTCTCTCTCTGAGAAAGGGTGGAAGAACACGCAAGCCATAAATTAGATAAGAACTATAATCGACCCGACCAGGATTCGAACCCATGCCGATCAGGGTCACCTCTAAGCATACACAGTACTGTGACCACCTAACCAATGGTAGACTACCATTGTAGTCTCTGTGTGCATTATGAGGATATCATCAACACAAGAGTGAATAAGGTAACAGTGATACTAAAAGTCCCCATCTCGCAGGATGGTTAGTCATACAGGGCCATATATATGTTTAGTATCCTGCACTGGCAAATTTTGGGTGCAATATGAGGATATCTTCAAGAACACGAGAGTGAATAAAGTAATTGCAAAGCTCCAGGTACCTCATGCCAACGGATCTGAAAGGTCTAATAACTGGGCATTCGGTGATGTAGTGTGGGAGATCGTGCCGTAGTTCCTGCTCACAGAGTTTGCAACTGGAGTGCTCAGGATTGGGAGATCCGTCACCTGTAGCCACCTGCCACAGGTAACGGTAACCCAACCTGATCCTGGCAACCACTGTGTCGCACAGTCTGGTCCACGTTTTTTGCTGTCCATAGATATAGGTTTCAGATCTGAACAAATCATAGCTTTTTATACTAGTACTTTCAGGTCGTTGGGAGTCCAAATCGCCATCACACAGGATTGGTAACACTCTAAGGACAATGACGCCCACATTTCAAGAGTCATAGGCGTCGCTGCATAGTAATAATCGGAGCGAATCCTGCCTAGTCTTGGGGGCTCGACCCCTACTATCCTTTGACATTCGACATTGAATCATAATTCACCATGGAAAGTTGCGTTTGGTTAACCGGAAGCGTCTGGCCTCCGAAATAGATACACAACACCTAGATATATATATTTATTTATATAGTCCAGCAGAGAGAGAGCTCCGTTACCTAATGCCCCGCAACTCTGATGAGCCTGTCGGTCGCCCAGACGGGATCAGGGTGAACCCCTGGAAGAATGGTAGACAGTTGGTGTGGGACTACACTTGCGTTTCAACTTTAGCCAACACCTATGTTGACTTCAGTGCTGCACTGGCAGGAGGTGCTGTCAATCACCGGGAAGCAGTCAAGTTGCGTAAATACAGAGACCTTGAGCACCACTACAATTTTGTCCCCATTGCCTCAGACACTTGGTGCCTGGGGTAAAAGTGCTGTTAGTTTTTTTGAAGGAGTTGGGGTCCAAGCTAATTGAAACAACTAGAGACCCTAAAGCCGCCAGTTTTCTCTTTCAGCACCTTAGTGTGGCGATCCAGAGAGGAAATGCTCACTGCATCCATGGTTCCTGCCCGCCATCTAAGGAGCTGGAGGAGCTCTACAACTTGTGACAAGTACCCTTGTACCCTGCATGTAACTAATGTTGTAACACTTTTTGTGTAATGAAGTTTTAAATAAGAAAAAATGACAAAATACACAAATTATAGGGGGTACTAGACGACAAGAAGACAATATGTGAATGTACGCGGGTGCCCCCCTCAAGGCTCCTGCGGATGCTACATATCCTCTTCTTCGAGGTCGAGCGTCCCCTACAAACGCAACCAGAGGTGGTACCCCATATATATATATATATATATATATATATATATATATATATATATATATATATATATATATATATATATATATATATATATTATAATATACACACACAACATTGTAGATATATATATATATATATATATATATATATATATATATATATATATATATATATATATATATATATATACACACAACACCTCGCAGATATACAACACACTGTAGATGTCTATACTATTCCTCATGATTAAATCAATACCTATACCTATATACCCCGTGCGTATAAGTTGTACCGAACGTTATGTATGCATACACACACACTATGTACCTAAGTGTACATCTATACATAGCATGGTTTGATGGATATACAAAATGCCACGAGTAAATGTTTGATATTTAAACTTTCCCCTCGATATATCCCCTGTAAAATATGGTAACATAAATCCACACAGGTTTGGCACACTCAACTATTTTCGCGGGGAGGAAATGTCACTGACAATGATGATGGTCCGTCGTTGTGAGAGGGATGTGTGGCGTGGTGCAGGGAGGTGTGTGGTGTGGTGCAGGGAGGTGTGTGGTGGTGCAGGGAGGTGTGTGGTGGTGGTGCAGGGAGGTGTGTGGTGGTGCAGGGAGGTGTGTGGCGTGGTGCAGGGAGGTGTGTGGTGCAGGGAGGTGTGTGGCGTGGTGCAGGGAGGTGTGTGGTGCAGGGAGGTGTGTGGCGTGGTGCAGGGAGGTGTGTGGCGTGGTGCAGGGAGGTGTGTGGTGCAGGGAGGTGTGTGGCGTGGTGCAGGGAGGTGTGTGGTGCAGGGAGGTGTGTGGTGCAGGGAGGTGTGTGGCTTGGTGCAGGGAGGTGTGTGGTGCAGGGAGGTGTGTGGCGTGGTGCAGGGAGGTGTGTGGTGCAGGGAGGTGTGTGGCGTGGTGCAGGGAGGTGTGTGGCGTGGTGCAGGGAGGTGTGTGGTGTGGTGCAGGGAGGTGTGTGGTGTGGTGCAGGGAGGTGTGTGGTGGTGCAGGGAGGTGTGTGGTGGTGCAGGGTGATGTGTGGTGGTGCAGGGTGATGTGTGGTGGTGCAGGGAGGTGTGTGGCGTGGTGCAGGGAGGTGTGTGGTGTGGTGCAGGGAGGTGTGTGGTGTGGTGCAGGGAGGTGTGTGGTGTGGTGCAGGGAGGTGTGTGGTGTGGTGCAGGGAGGTGTGTGGTGTGGTGCAGGGAGGTGTGTGGTGTGGTGCAGGGAGGTGTGTGGTGTGGTGCAGGGAGGTGTGTGGCGTGGTGCAGGGAGGTGTGTGGCGTGGTGCAGGGAGGTGTGTGGTGGTGCAGGGAGGTGTGTGGTGTGGTGCAGGGAGGTGTGTGGCGTGGTGCAGGGAGGTGTGTGGCGTGGTGCAGGTGTGTGGCGTGGTGCAGGGAGGTGTGTGGCGTGGTGCAGGGAGATGTGTGGCGTGGTGCAGGGAGGTGTGTGGTGCTGCAGGGAGGTGTGTGGTGTGGTGCAGGGAGGTGTGTGGTGTGGTGCAGGGAGGTGTGTGGTGGTGCAGGGAGGTGTGTGGTGGTGCAGGGAGGTGTGTGGTGGTGCAGGGAGGTGTGTGGCGTGGTGCAGGGAGATGTGTGGCGTGGTGCCGGGAGGTGTGTGGTGGTGCAGGGAGGTGTGTGGCGTGGTGCAGGGAGATGTGTGGCGTGGTGGTGCAGGGAGAGAAGGCGTGCAGGGAGAGGTGGCGCGCAGTGAGAGGCAAAGTGAGTGTTATGAGTGAGAATTGAAATAAAGGTGGTTGTGAAAGCGAGGTTGAGTAAGAGGTGGCGTTAGAAGCCACTCAAGAGTCACATCTCTCAGATTTTCATCTTAAGACAATATTGGTAACAATAAGAGGCCAAATTGGCACCAGTACCACCACCAGGAATATAGCGGGAAAGATCATTTCAAAATAGGAAAGAACATGTCCGAAATACATTTCTCATTGATCGAGATCGCCTGAGGCCAGTGGGTGACCTTCCACAAAAAGCAACCAACAACAGTCGACTAACTCCGGAAATACTGATTTACTGTTAGGTGAGTGGCGGCAACCCATGTGACGAACACGTACTAGAACGTCTTGCCCGGAACACTGTGTGTCGAACAGCCCAAAACGATAGAAGATATCAAGAAATGTTGTGTTTTGATTAAGATGATTAAAGGATAACGTGCACGCACGCATTCACTGTCCCTCCCCTTCCCCTTTGTCTGTGTATATCTCTCTCTCTTTTCTCTTTCTCATTTTCTTCTCTCTCTCTTTTCTCTTTCTCATTTTCTTCTCTCTTCTCTCTCTCTCTCTCTCTCTCTCTCTCTCTCTCTCTCTCTCTCTCTCTCTCTCTCTCTCTCTCTCTCTCTCTCTCTCTCTCTCTCTCTCTCTCTCTCTCTCTCTCCACACATACACACAGATATGATAGAGCCAAATAGGCTCAAGAACCTGTACACCGGTTGATTATCAGTTGAGAGGCGGGACCAAGGAGCCGAAGTTCAACTCCCGCAAGCACAACTAGGTGAGCGCGCGCACACACACACACACACACACACACACACACACACACACACACACACACACACACACACACACACACACACACACACACACACACCTAGATAACAAAAAACTGAAAGATCACTACACAAAAAATGACCAGGGGGAGGGGGGAGGAGATTCACTACGACCCTCGTAAACATTGCAACACTCAAGACAACATACACAAAGTAATCAAAGCAACATATTGCAGAAGATTACATACACCTGGGAATCAAAGCAACATACTCCTCCATGCGACTACTCATACCAGGGAACAAATCAATACCAAACTCTCACGTCTTAAGAATTTCTGGTAGAAAAAGACTCAAATTTAATTAGTAAGGTGTCACTTGAGCGGAAGGTCGCAAAGTTCCGTCATATATTTTGAGAAGAGGGAAAGACCCATAACATATAGGAACTTAAAGAATAAGTTAGCGTCATAAAGTTGTCACTGGTTTCCATTAAAAATAGTTTATATAGCAAGAGGGGGGGAGGGGTGGATTTTGTTTCGAATTTCATGACATGAATATATATATAAAAAGCGAATGTCTGGCCGAAAATATGCAAATCTTGAAGCAACAAAATTTGGTGCAGATTATTACGTACAATTTTGTG